TGGGAAAGAGGCTGAATGTGAGGAAGAAAAGAAAAAAAAACATCTGCCATCAAAAACTCCCCCTAGGACTCCAACGAGAGACAAATTAGAGATTTTCGGAGGCAGTTGGGCAGAAACATGAAGAATGGGTCATCCAAGGTCTTGGAGGAGTACGAAGAAGAAAGGAGAAAAGCCGGAACGTCGTATGACTATAATTGAATGAGAGAGTTTTACCCTTGATGCATGGGGCGAAACGCCAAATGGAGAGAAAGTTAGGGCGAAGATGTTGGGGCTAGCAAGTTGAAGATATTGATTTTCAATGTAGAAGATGCACATGGGTGGGTGTACCTGGTGGAATGATATTTCGTGGTGAATGGGCTAAATGGGGAGGAGAAGCTCTTGACAGTAAGATTATTTGCAGGAAAAAATCCTAGTATGGTTTCAGTGGAGGTAGGCTATATACCCAATCCAATCATAAGATAATCAATTTAAGGATTGTTTGTTGGAACACTTCTGAGACAATCAGGAAGAAGACTTACACGAGTAATTATATGCCTTAACTCGGGAGGGGAATATCATGAAATATAGAGACAAGTTCGAGCTATTGTCGGAATGGCTAGGGGGTAATACTGAAGCAAGATTAGAGAAAAATTTCATGAAGTCCTAAAGCCGATATATGGGCAGCATTTAAATTATTGAGATCGCGAGGATTGAGGGAGACGATAGAGCTAACCCAAATGTTGTAGGACAAGAACCCAATAGAGAAGGCCAACAGAAATATCACCATGAGAAAATTCCATTAAGAGTACCTTGACAACCATAACATTGAGGACCCAGACAGCATAATTGTAGGGGGAGTCGCCGAAAGAGAAGAATAAGGGGACAAGTTCAAGTATTTTACAGATACATATTTAGGAGAGGTTAGTCAAAAAGCTATGTTTTCTATGTGCAGAGAAGATTGCCCCAGAACACCGTTACAAAGATTGAACATTAAAAATTCTTACAGAGTGTGGCGAGAAAGCAAAGGATAAAGAAACATAGATAGCTGTCGTGGAAATGGAACACACTTATTTTATTCCATCATTCAAACAAGGTGTCTTTTGGGAGGGAAGTATTGTTACGCACTAGCCTAAGGGAAATTTTTTCTTTTATTAGCCTGGGAGCCAATTGATTTAGCATTATTTTTTAGAATAAATAGGGCTTAATAGCTTAGGGATAGAGTTATGCATGAGAATTGTTGTCTTGGAGTCTTAGAGTTAGGGTTTGAGAGAGATTTCTTACCTCTCGAATTTTAAGAATTAGGAGAGATCGCCTACCTCTCGAATTGTTAAAGTTTATCCTTTATGTACTCTTGTTGTATTACTTTGTTTTGGTGTTCGTGAAATAAAATGTGTTTGCTCTAACTTCGATGGAAAATCGTGCAATTTTTGTGCCAAATCATATCAATTACACCTAAGTCTTGCATTTTTTTGAATGATATTAAATAATATTTTTTTAAAATCATGCCTATTAAAATTATATATCCTATATCACTGTTTGTTCTACAAATTCTAAAGCTTTTATCTTGTGAACAATCCCTTCATTCATCTAATTTTCCACGTATTTCAGTAAATTTCTTAGGAAAATTATATAGCACATACTAAAATAAATCTAAGACCTGTAAAATACTTTTGAGCTATCTGGCCATGCATATTGTGTCATTGATAATCCAATTTAATGCCATTAGACAAAAA